CACGGAGTGTGAGATCGTGACCTGAGCCGAAGTCGGCGGCTTAACCGACTGAGCCACCCAGGCGCCCCTAAAAAAATTTTTTTTTAAAACAGACCTATCTCCCTTCTACGTTTAGGTCTGGAGCCCTTCTGGAAGATTAAGGGTTATGCACATCAACTAGAAAACAATCAAGCACTTTAAATACTCCTATATCGCCAGGCCCCGTGGGCGGTAGATAAACATGAAGACGCGGCTGTTTTAGGGGAGAATGTTCACATTTGGTAGTATGGTTCGCAAAATCGATATTACCTCTGTGCGACACGTAGGTCGGTCTACTCAGCACTGTGGGAGAAGGCAAAAAGAACCAGGAATTTTAACTTCTTTTTACGAGCCTTATCCATCATAGTTTAGTCACGCTGACACGCCTGCTGAAGAAAGCTCATTTTCTTTACGTTCCCGGGGCTTTTACCTGAAAACATCATCATGTGTTGAAAGTTCCAGCCAATCTTATGCCTTCTGCCCAAGTTGAGGAAGAAGGAGAGCGGGTAGATGTGTGCAGCTCGGCCCAGGAAGATGGCAACCTGACCACCAGGTGGAGGTTAAGGGCCCAACAGGTTTCTAGAACGGCAGCTTCGCCCGGCCTCTGGTGGAGCAGAGAATTTTAGGAATGCTGGGACACCCTGTGACCAGGAGCTAACCGCACCACGATCAGGAGGGATGCGCAAGGCAGCCAGGCTAGACCCGGTGCCCTCGGAACGCGTGTCAGCTACAAGCAGGACGCAGGTGGCCACCTTTCCCGACCTCCTAGCTCACAGAGGTAATGCCTGGCCTGCTAGACGCACTGTTGGAACTTCTTGATTTCATTAAGCAGGTGTGGACCAAGTCTCCCCCCTATCTACACCTAAGCTGAGGAGCCCTGGCAGGGGTTGGGAGTTGAGAGGAGCAAACAGTGGCTTGGGCTCCGTTAGAAGAAGGAAAGTCATGGGGCGCCTGGGTGGCTCAGTCGGTTAAGCGTCCGACTTCAGCTCAGGTCACGATCTCACGGTCCGTGAGTTCCAGCCCCACGTCGGGCTCTGGGCTGATGGCTCCGAGCCTGGAGCCTGCTTCCAATTCTGTGTCTCCCTCTCTCTCTGCCCCTCCCGCGTTCATGCTCTGTCTCTGTCTCAAAAATAAATAAAACATTAAAAAAAATTTATAAAAAAATAAAAAAAAAAGAAGGAAAGTCACGAGAAGAACAAATCTCTAACCCGTGGGTCAAGAGCTCATAAGCTTTAGTCAGAAGTAAATAGGAGGGGCTCGAAATGACCAGGAAGATGCTACGGCTAAGAGGTGCGGAAACTTGGGAGCACTTGGGACACTTCAGATGCGTTCATGTCCCTCCCAAGACTCAAGAGGGGGTAGATGTCTCTACCCAGGTGGCTCAGATGTCTTTTTGGAGGCGTGAGCCCATGGAGGCAGAGGAGTGTGGCAAGCAAAAAATTCAGGGAAATGGGCCATTCGTCACTCGCTGAGTGGAGAACAGAGCCCGGCAGGGAGCCATGGTTACAGGAGGAAACTGCCATGGGACCCGTGGGGACCGGGAGCTTCCGTTCCAGCTGAGTGCCAGCTGCCCAGGGCCGCAGCTGTTTCAGACGGAAGCCAGGGCGGAACTGTCCTCTGCCTTCTCCAGGGTAAAGGACGGACTGTTTTTCTGCTTTTAGCTTTTTTTTTTTTTGTTTTCTCCTTTGGTGTGGTGTTGTGTTGTGTTGTGTTGTGCTGTGTTGTGTTGTTTAGAATGGCAGGAAAGCAGGTAGTGCTCGGAAAGCTCGATTCCATCCCAGAAGCCAGGCAACCGTCCTCCAGTGGGAAGTGGCCTTTGAGATTCCCAGGGGACCCGTCT